GAGAACACTAACCAAGAAACAATCTTCAGGTCACCTTTCCTCTTCCTTTTATGAGGACATAAGACAAAATAACAAGTAGATCTCCCTGAAAAGTCTCCCTGGAATTGCCACAGTCCCACACTTGAGTTAATGTGCAATCTCCACGCCCAGCACAAAACTAGGGCACTTAAAGTAATGTTTTCCTTAGGTGCTTGAATATTTGCAGGTTAGTTTTCTCCCTTAAACTGCTCAGATAATCATTCCTAACCTGCTGTGTGTATGTGTACACAACCTTTAAGGAATGTTATTTTTTAAAGTTATCAATTTAATAAATTATATTGGTAGAGTCAAGAAATTTCAAATAGAGGAAACTGGATCAGATTAGAAAAGGAGAATCAAGATGAAAAGAGTGAAAAACAGAGTAATAGATTCTGTAACTTTTATTACAAAAAAAAGTTTAAACCTTTTACATGCTATATATGACATTAAATGTCATGTGTAAGTTCATTGCAAGCAAACACTTCAAAAATATACATACTGTATATATTTACATTCAAGTTTGAGTAACTGTTGTCAAGGTGTAGTTAAGGTTCTAATCTTTACCCACCCTGTCGATTTGTTCAGCTACTAACTAAATAGCGATTGTATCTTCACTCAGGCACGTGGAGAGGTAGAAATTGCTTTTAAAAGAAACAACCAAGACTGGAGTGCAAATGTGCAGATCGGTCATTGAAGCAGCTGAGCTACATCAAGGAGACCCTGACTAGCTTTGGTCATCTGGAAAAGCTGAATATGCATAACCTGTCCTTTTAATTAAAGCCAGAAAAACTTTGGGCGGGTGCTCTTCTGATCACATCAGAGGGCTGACAGAACCGAACAACCAAGGTCTGCCACTCTGCACCCAAGAATTGCATATGACTAAGTTAGGCAACATAGCAGCAGAACTGGGCTGGTGGCTGGGTTTTCCCTGATAAGACACAAAAGTCGCTTAGAGACATCAAATTGGTATCTGTACAAACACAGCCTGGAACTGAGAAGCTAACAGAGATACTTCCCTTCCCAAGTGAAATCCCTATAAATTTCTGCCCATGCTCACCTCCATCCCAAACTGAGCTCCTAGATCTATCTATGGTTAGGGGCGCCCTGTGACTTCTGCAGGCCAAGGTTCCTCTGCCTCAAGAGTGGAGCTCATGAAGGCTCTTGGGCCTGAGAAGGGCTTCCAGGGTTCCTGCCAGACTTGATGGGGCTCATTCCTGAGAGGGGAAGTTGGAGGGAGGCCACAGAGGTGGCTGCGGCCAGAAGCCCTTCCCTTTCCCTTTTCTTCTGTTTCATCCTGCGGTTCTGGAACCAGATTTTTACTTGGGTGTCATTCAGATGCAAGCAGTTGGCTATCTCGATGCGTCGAGCTCGAGTCAAGTACTTATTGAAATGAAACTCTTTCTCCAGTTCTGTCAGTTGCTTGGTGCTGAAATTCGTGCGGATGGCGCTGGATGGGCTGGCGGCTCCACACTCTGCGAGTTTACCTGCAACGTAAAGACAGGGCCTTAGCGGGGCGAGAGGATGTGGAGCCCGACCGCGGGCCGCAGTGGGGCTAGAGTGAGAATCAAAGTCACAGCGCAGCGCAGCTGGGTCTCTATGAACACAGATGGGCCAGGAAAAAGAAAAAAAAAAAAAAAAAGCTCCACTGGAGCTCCCCCACTCTAATGTTTCCACAGCTTGGCACAGGCACATTTTCTGAACCTGGTCTCGGAAGGCACTTAATGGAATTGGCCTATTTTAATAAAACATCGGGAGGCGTTTCCTCCATAAAACCCAAACCGCTGTCTAGAGGGGTGGCAGCGACTCTCTCCCAGCGAAGGTTCCTTTTCCCACCCCAGGTATCTCCATCCAACGCCTGCGTACTTACTTTTCTTAGGGGCGTTCCTCTTCACTTTCATCCACTCGAACGTGCTGAAGGCGGCAGGGAGGCCCGAGGTGGGAGAGACGGCCTTGGGATAGGCGCCAGGGGCCGGGGATGCAGTCTGGAAGGCTCCTGGGTGGCCGTCGGCTGGCTCTTTGAGACACGCAGGGATGGGGCCAGGCTCGCCGAAGGCCGCGTAATCCACTTGGCCGCTGAGCAGGAAGGAGCCACCGCTGGAGAAGACGGCCGAGGTGGCGTAGTGGACGTGCGCCCCGCTGTCGTCGGCTGCTCGCCCGAGCGCTCCCGGGAAGTCGTACGAGGGCCCGGACCCCAAGAAGCCATAGTCCGCGCCTCCCGCCGCCGCCGCCGCCGCAGGTGCGGCGCCCCGTTCGTAGGCCCCTTCCAGGGTACACGGCGCGTACCGGGGCGCGGCCGGGGATGAGGCGGGGGCAGTTGGGGGCGAAGGCGCGGGTCGGGTGGCGACCAGGGGCAGGCAGCTGACGAAGGCGCCGTCACCACTGCCCAGGGTGAAGGTGGGCTGGAGCGCCACGGGTCGGGCGTCAGCGCGGCAGAACTTGGGTGCGAAGCTGAGCACGTCGCCGCCGCCGCAGGTCACGTACTCCAGGTAGGAGCTCATGGTTCCAGGTCACCGTCCCGAGGCGCAGGTGTACCCGGGCTGGGCCACACTATCGCTGTCTGCGCCGCTCCGCCTTCTCCTTCTTTACCCGAGCTGCCCTAGCCGAGCCATGGCGAGCCAGCCGAAGGTGAATAGTGGCCTAATATACCGGCGGGAGCGACCACATGATGCCGGCCGGCCAATCGGTGACTTCCCCGCACCGGCGGGGCACCAACTGGCGTGCGACGCCCCACCGCCAACTTAGCCAAACCAGCGCCCCCCAGCCCTGAGGGGAGCCGGCGCGGTCGCGGGGCTTCCTGGGGAAGGGCGGGGTGCGAGCGCAGGACACCAGCTCCCGGGACAGGTACGCGCGAGTGGGGGAAGAGGACCGGGTGAGCGCGAGGGATGGAGCGGCGATAGCCGGTTGGGGATCATGACTGGTTAGTCCCTCGGGGGTAGATGGTAGTGGGGGGGGGCACTCGGCCTATGGGCGCTGCTCCCAGCCCTTTTGCTAGGGAGGTAAAGTTCCTTCTGTCCCCTTTTTCCGAGTCCTCCGCGCTTTCGGTTTTCTAGGCACTGGTGTTATCCCTGTCCTAAACCTGAAGCAGATGTTTGATTTTCCCTCTTTTCTTCCTTCCCGAGGACTTCTGGGACTACACTTTCTGCTTCTAAGTGTGGTGCACCTCAGGTGGGACGAAATCTTCACTTTTTGGTTAGGCTCTTTACATAGTACAACACAGCATTTCCTTCAGCTTCCTCTGCCCCTTCCAATTTGTGGTGGCACGGTGAGGGCAAATGTGGTAGTTCCAGGTTTGGGGTGGGGCAGAAAATAAGGTTTCTCCTGTGTAGGGAAGTCTCTCGAAGATTTTCCCCTCTAAACGAGGTGATCGGAATAAGGAATAAAGAATCAGAATCCACCCTTGCGGGGGGTGGGGGGGCGCTTCCTGTGCGCTTGTTTGGGAGGCTGGCATACGCGCTCCTGCTGCGCACGCTTTCAGTGAGACTCTTGGCTCCGGGGCGCAAAGGCTTCTCAGGGAGCGGTCAGATCTCAGAGGTTTGGAAGGGCTTGTACCTTGAAGCAATTAAAGCTTTGTTCCATCAGATAAGTGCTGCGTCGTCTCTTGCGAGTGAAATCTGTGGGCTTACAAAGTTAATGGGCTCACGTCTTTTCCCTTGATAATATGGTTTGGTTTACTGAGTGTTAGAGAGACGGGAAATAAAAGTGCAATTGGCACAGGAAACGAAGAGTAGAAGGGTTACAAAGACAAGCTTTACATTGACAAACTTTCTGACTTTCTTGAGCATTTCTTAAATGTTTTCTCTTTGGGCTATAGGAAAATACCAAGTTAAATAAACAGCGGTTGTTTACACATAGCCGTAATGAAAGAGGGTGGTTTCCTAAAACCTTGTGTGAATGAAGACTCTAAAAAAGTCTGAGTTTATTCAAATGCCCTTGAAAACTTGATCTGTTACATCCTGTAAGTTATGGTGAGCACGGCTTTATTATTGTTTTACTGATCCACTTGTCATGAAAGAGCGATTGAGCCCTTGCCTAAAATTCCACTTTAAGGCAGTCTGCAGAATAGGGGCTATCACAGTCCAGGCAGCTAGTCCCCTACAGGGATGTGGACTTGTGAATAAACAAAGCTACCCCAAAAGGGTAGACCTGGTGAGGCTGAAAGACCTCCAGGTTAAGGGAATGGAGGAGAGACACTTATAAATAAGCACAAATCTAAGTTGGTCTGGGGTTCTTAAAATTAAGTGCGAAGTGGAATTCGGTGTTAAAAATAGCCCTTCAACCTTGAACTATGCATCCCATTTCCCTGAAGCAAAATTTCGAAGATTTAGCCTTGGCTGAGAGCAAAAAGTACACTAAAAGAATGAGATTTTTGTTTTTAATTTTTTAAGTTTTCACAACTGTGGTGAGAATGGGGGTCAGAAGTGGGGACTGGGGCAAGGTTCAATGTTTCTTCAGACCCACTCTCAGTTCCCTGATAACCCCATACAGAAACCTGCATTCTGTCATCCTTTACTCCTGTAAATATCTGAGTCCTTGGCATATCTCAACACCTCTGGGCTCAGAGTTGACTTCTCCACTCCTGGCTTGTTTTGTTTTGTTTGTTTGTTTTTGATGTTCTGAGGATCAAACCCAGGGCCCCAAGCATGTTAGGCAAATGATCTACTACTAAGCCATATCCCTAGCCCATACCCCAGGAGAATCTTAATCTCTAATTCTGTAAGGACAGATCAGAAGATATTATTGGGCAGAATGTGTATAGAAATATGTGAATAGAGGCTGTTTTGAGTAATTTTAGTTTGCCTCAGATGTTCACAGGGTATGAGAGAAATGTCTTAGTAAGTTTATTACTTGTTCAAGTCATGAATTCCCAAGGGTCACTTGCCCTGCTGGGTCCTGGCACTGTTAGTTCTCCGTGGGAGGTGGACAGCCAGGGATCCTGATTGCCAGGTTGTTTTTGATGTAGGAATGCTTTGAAATCTCTCCAGTACTGCGCACCACAGCAGCCACCCCTACTCATTCCCACCCTCCCCCACTACCTTTCTCTCCCATTTGAATAACAATCTTCTTTTCTGCAGGCAGACATGCTGGAGGGTGGCTGTCTGGTCTTCTGTGTGTTTAAAGTCATTCCTAAGAAGCCCTTCCACATGCCCCAGGGTGCTACCCCTTGGTGATACTTGAGCACATTCAAACTCTTGGCTCTACAGTGTCAAAGCCAAGAAGATCTCTTGCCTGTGGGAGTAAGAGAGTTTTTATATCAGATTAAGGAAAATGAGATTAAGAGTCATTTCTCTATAGCATCTTCACTGATGGAGGTGAAGATACACAGGTGCTAAGCATGGGAATTCTAAACCTCTTAGAAATCTAATAACATAACCCTCCCCAAGGAAAGCAGTTTAGAGGGTTTGGTGGGGGGTGCTTATTGGGATTTGAACTCAGGAGTCAGACTTGCTGAGCCTTGGAGTGCTGTGTTGTGTTTCTCTAAGACATTTGTGGTTGAGACTCATGGGTCAAGCCAGTGCTTGACACATGGTAGACTTTCAGTAAATGTTTGTTGGACAGAAATAAAGAATGGACATAGTGATATGCTTTACCATGACTAATGCCTGCTCAAGGATATCCTTAGATTATTGACTCCCAAAACCACTTTGTGTGGGTAGGAATCACCATAGAAGCTTGTTTAAAAGTGCAGGTTTCTTGGCCCACTCCCAAAGATATTAATCCAATAGGTCTGACTCAAGAATCTTTATTTTTAACAAGCCTTTGGAGTAATCTTGCAGGCAGATTCTTCAGATCCACACTCTGAAATTTTCTACTTTTGGAATTGGGATAGGAGGCAATATGGGGGAAAGGGTTTTTTTCTATGGGAGGAACTATGAACCTTGTGAGAAGCCATAGTTAACTAGTGCATAAGTATTCCTGAAAATGTCCAAAAGACTGTTGAGTGGCATCTCAGAGAAGACAATGTCAAGATCAAACTTAAGTCCAAATGGGTTAAAGTTCTGGAGAATATCCTAAAGAAGTAGTCTTTAGGAATTTCTCAAGTTTTGGCAAATTAGTGCTTTGCGGAGACTGTGCTTACTTCTGTTTCTCAGCACTTCCCCAGCTCAGCTTGGGGTAGGAAGTGAGATATTTGTCTCTTAGTTATTCTGAGGCAGTGGGAAGGAAGAATGGGAATGGGGGTCTTTAACTCTCATTTCTTCCAAGCTCTCATTCAACTCATTTCCTTCTATCTCTCCCAAATTATCTTGAAGGGGGATTTAAACCCAAAAGATTCAGAGGGAAAATGTCCTTTGATATAAGCTATGACTCCTCCTCTGACTAAAAACATCTTTCACAGCTTAAGATGGCAAAGCTAGAAAGTACCTTACAGATAAACTACATCATACTCTTGATTTTACAGAGGACATTGCTTTCCTCAGAAGTTAAAAGCCATCCTGCAAAACCCATGGGGCTTTGACTCTCCACATTCCATTTCATTTTCACAATCTGCAAAGACTAAGAAGTCAGGCAGCCATTTTTCTCCACTGTGGCAGCCTCCATCCTGAGAAGAAGAGCAATGGTTCCAGGAACAGCCCTCATTTCTGGGAGACCATGTAGTAAGTGGGGGCAGACTAAGAGGTTGCTGCTCTTCTCTTTAGGATTTGTTTGCTAAACTTCTGCCCTAGACATGGGTAAACACACCTTGAGGCTTCTACAAGAGAGGGTGGAGATGGGCCTGGTTCCCCACCCCCTCCACCATCAGCAAAGGGCAAAGGATCCTCTTATTTCCTGTCAAGGTTGACCAACTTCAAAGTCCTAGAGAGACAAAACAAAGTGTCCTGAGATTGATTTCACTGGATAGAGCAAACACAAAAGAAAACATGTATGAACACACAGACACACCCAGGTCTGCTACACTTGCACTAGCCATTTATAATTTGTTTTTTTAAATAGGTAATAAATTCATACTGATATCGTTCAAGATTCAAAGGAATATGCAGTGAAATTTTTCCCACCCTTGTCCCCATCTATCCATTTGATTAGTCTCCTGTATATCTTTGCAGAGATTCTTTGTACTTGAACAATTCATATCTCCCCACACTTTTCAACATAAATGGTAGTGTATTCTAGATAGACTCTGTTGTACCATGTTTTCCCCCTGTTGTCTCTTGAGGATTGTTCCATGTAAATATATACCGAACTCCTTTACAACTTCATACTCTTCTACTATATGCACCTACCACAATTTATTTAACTAGTCCCTATTCATGGGCATGTCACTTGTTTTCAACCTTTTGCTATTACCAACATGTTCAAGTTTTTAACCTATTAGAAAATTCCTGGAAGTGAAATTATTAAATCAAAGGATATGTGCATTAGCAACTAATACATTTTTCTAAACTGCTCTCCATAAAAGTGAGTCAAAGTACCCAGGCATATGGTGCATGCCTGTAATCCCAACTCAGGAGGATGAGGCATATGATCATGAGTTCAAGGCCAGCCTGGCCTTCATATTGAGACC